TCTTTGTTGTCATTCAGAAACTTCTTTACCACACATTTGAACTGGAAAATGGTCTGTTTGTTTGGGATTTCGTGTCCCATGGTCAGGATCTTCGAGTAGCAGAGTGTGGCTGGGAGCTCCTGCAATAAGCACAGTCCATAATTTCCAGAAAAAGCATAAGGATTTTTTTTATTTTTAATGAACCAGAAGCCAGAAAATGAAATTTTCAACTGAGCCTAAAAGAGCAGTAACACAGTTTTAGGTAAGAAAAGCCCTGTTTCACTCCTTTGACATAGCACCAAAATTCCATATTATTTTTTCTGCCTCTCTTTCCTCCCTGGGGAGGGCACACAGAGGCTGGAACACTTTTCCAAGCAATTATCCACACACTCAGAGCTGTTTGCAATCAGGAGATCCCATAAAAGCAGCTTTAGGGTATCCCCAAACTTGTGCTGGTTGGTCTGGGGTTGGAGACCCCAGCGTGGTATCTGACCAAGGACAAAGACCCCCATGGGGCTGCAATGGTTCATCTCATCCCCTGTCAGAGATTCCAGTGCCTCACACTCTTCCAATTCTCCTCCTGGAAGCAAATCCTGCCCGTTCCCAGCCGTCCCAGACTCACCTCTGGCCCATAGTAGCGCCTGGTGTAGGTGAGGTCGATGATCAGCCCCAGCTCCTCCTTCCTCTCCCTGACTTTCCTGATGAGGTCACGAGGGGAAAACCTCTCCTCTGGAAGGAGATTCCTGTCAAAACTCTGAGGGGAAATCATGTTTCAGAGCAGACATTAAATTGGAGTGTGTGGGAGGGGTGGGAAGAATTTCCTGCTCCAGAACTCCAGGAGATGAGGGAGAAGGACTTGGGGAAGGAGCAGAGGCTGAGGCAGGTGGACACAGAGTTACTGGGTCCAATCATGGCATCAGGGAAGGAGTTGGGTTGGGAGGGACCTTAAAGCTCATCCAGCTGCACCTCTGCCATGGGCAGGGCTGGGCTTTGGGACAGCTCAGCTGTGGGCTTCCAAAAGTCACCAAAAACTTCCCCCTGAGGCAGAACCATGGTGAGACACCCTCAGACACCGAAGGTGCTGTTTGGTGGAAGCTGTAAACCAGGTCCTTCAGCTCAGACCCATGGAATCTCAGAATTACTGAGGCTGGAAAAGCCCTTCAAGATCATCAAATCCACCCTGTGACTGATCCCCCCCAGCCCAGAGCACTGAGTGCCACATCCAGGCCTTCCCTGGGCACCTCCAGGGGTGGGGACTCCACCACCTCCCTGGGCAGTTCCAGTGTTTAACCAGTCCTTTCCATAAAGGAATTTCTCTAATGTCCAACCTAACCCTCCCCTGGCACAGCCTGAGGCCGTTCCCTCTCCTCCT